TTGACTAAAATGATCTTAACTGCTAGCTGGTTCGTAGATTATTCTAACTTACATTTTCTTTTCGTAGATTAATATAGTTTACTTTTATTTTTCGTAGATTAATATAACTTACATTTTTTTGTTCGTAGATTAATATAGTTTACTTTTATTTTTCGTAGATTAATATAACTTATATTTTTTTGTTCGTAGATTAATATAGCTTACTTTTAATTTTCGTAGATTAATGTAACTTACAGTTTTTTCGTAGATTAATATAACTTACATTTTTTTTCGTAGATTAATGTAACTTCCTTTTTTTTCGTAGATTAATATAACTTATATTTTTTTGTCGTATTTTTAACTTGACTAAAAGGATCTTAACTGCTAGCTGGTTCGAAGCCAGTGAATATTCTTAGTTTTAACCAATCAAAAAGTGAGACAGAGCGTGAGAAAGAGACATGTCAATGACATTGGGAAAATCAAGATAACAGATTTTTTTTTTTTTTTTTAATTTTTTTTGCTGACTTAGAATTATTAAAAGATTAAAACTGTATGTATTAAAAAAAATGACCAGATACTATTAGTAATTATCGTTTTAAACATGCATTAAAAATGCGAGAACTAAATCTGCCTATTGCAGGTCTTTCTTTAGGCCTAAAATGTTATCTAAATTATTAATTAGACATTAATTAGTGGATTATGAGCCGATTTACTGCATAACTTTCCTTCACGATTAAATGGATAATTGAGACTATGCTGTTTATCTTACTGACTTTAGTAATGATGATCAAGGCTAGTCGGAAATTTCAACAGCTTAGTTCTCGGTTCATAGTGGATCAATTTGAATGATATTTTCAGCAAATTCCCTTTACATTATCTAGTTTTTAACTATTATAATGAGAACTGCCAACTCGTTATCGAATCTCCCATAATGTATCTTTAATTAGTATACTTGAATAACGATATCTTTATTCCAGCAATTGGAATATATCTTTAAAAAAATAAATAAATAAAAGGGGTTACCCCTTTAAAAAAAGCGGTTGTTAACATTGCATTATGTACTTAACAGATGTTTTTTTTATCTAGTTTTAAAATCTAAAGGGTAGGTTTTGTTCATTCAAGGAAGGGAAATATTACTTTAAAAAAAATGGTGAGATAATAGTAATTATTGTAATAATTGTTTTATTAATTGTTTATATTAATTGTTTATATTAATTGGCGGTGAATTACACCAAAACATTTAAAAAAAATCCAACTATACTTAAAGAAGAAATAAGATGAAGGAAACGACACTTAAAAATAGAATCTGTTTAACAGAGAGAGAGAGCGAGAGAGAGAGAGAGAGAGAGAGAGAGAGAGAGGGATTACGGGACTAACATATGGTTCAATTTTATTTCAATAATTCGCTTGCATGTAGTGACCTTTAGCAGTGGGTGGAAACCGGAGGACCCGGAGTAAACCCACGAGGTTGGACACGCGAACCTGCTTCTTGTCACGTACAAACGGGAAAGACCAGCGACCCTACTGTTTGCCACGTTCAAGCAGGGAATCGAAACCCCGCTACCTGACTCAATGACAGATCTTATGATTGCACGCGCGCGCGTTAAACCATTCGACCACCCAACCCCCCGTTTCCTGTTTTAGTTAATGAAGTTTGACAGCAACAAACTATATTCTAATTACAGAAATTAAAACCTCATATTACGACTGCTAGCTTTTTCTGATAAAACTCTGTTTAAGTAGTGTGAGTGTTGCATCATTGTAAAGCTTCTTCTATAATTTGAAGGAGCCACACTGGCTCGGTGAGTAAGACGGTTTCGATTCCACTATTGACTGGCACAGTTCCTCGGGATTTTCCGTCGTTTTCCCCTTGTATGCCTACACATTGACGTGAAGGTAAAAGAAACCTTGACGGTTGGAATTCTAAATAAGTGTCGTTGTCCGGACAACATTTCTCTCATAGCACACTCTTTGGCATAGGACGTTAGACCCCATTGCATTTCATTAGGGCGCTAAGGACTGTTATCAAAAGTTGGCCGAGAAAATTCGTCGGGAATTTTCAGATGTGACTTCCCGTTGTCATTTGTGGAAGACGGAGGGCATGACAGAGACAGCTGTCTAGTCGTTCGGATGGGACCAAAAAACCGAGGTCCTGTGTATACATTGGCGTGCACGTAAAAAACCCCTTGGCAGTTGGAATTCGATATAACTAAGAGTAGGCCATAGTGCCGCTGCCCGGGCAAAATTTATCTCATAGCAAAATGTATGTCGTATGCTCACCTCCAATAGCTTAGTCCGAGCAGAACGGTAGGACGTTAAACCACAGTTCATTTCATTTCATTTCTGTCAGCAGTACGGTTGGAAACAGTTTACGTGTCAAGTATGAGACGGTCCAGAGAAATATTGAAAATTCTTCTCTGAACACGTCGGGATCCAAACCCCTGATATTCCGGCTCTTGTCAATACCCAAGAATATAATATGATAATAATATAATACAATGATGAAAGCAAATGAGATCCAGTTTGATAGCTGTCATAATTATTACATCAATCGACAAACCGAGGCCATATTTGCCTTGGCGAGTTAGCAACCATGAATTAATGGAATGGGGTTTAATGCCCTACTGTTATAACGCCCTAAAACCCCCGTCAGACCGGGGTGGCGTCCTTCCTGCGCTGGTACGACGACAGAAAATGGTCTCAGAGCGCGTCAAGATCGTCATAAGCGTGGTAAAAGCGTAGTGGAAACGCCAGATATCGTGCTGTGGTCTCCATGGTCGCCAATGATCGCCGAGTCATGGCGTTTGTTTTGAGCATATTCAAAACAAACGCCAAGGTTCTGCGATATGACCTGGAAAGCTGTGAGAATGCGACTTTTTTCAAGTTTGTAATTTTTGCGGACATTTTCTTGCGTTGTGTTCACGTTTGCCGGCGACCTTACGCATTTTCTGGTCGTCGTACGCTCGCAGCAGCGCAGTAAGGGCGCCACCCCGGTCTGACGGTGGTTTAAGACAGATATATGCCATATTGTATGCTAAGAGGGACGTATTTCCTGGACATCATTACTAACGCCTACTCTTATTTCGAGTTGGTTACCATGTAGTATCCATCAGTAGGTATAATAAATCATTAACACAGCTTTTATTATGTCAAAAATAAAATTTGTCGATTTTATTGGGCTTTATGCGTTGGTTTGTTTTGTGGGATGGTAGACGCCGTGGCCCAATGAGTAAGACGGTTGCTTACTAACCAGGGTGACTCATGTTCACCCTCGTTGTTGGCCCACACACTTCTCAAGATTATACGGCGTGACTTCCCTTGTCAGTATGTGTGTGTGTGGGGGGTTACTGAATGGTTAGCGTGTGCGCGCTGTATCATAAAGTCTGTCATTGAGTCAACTGGCGTGGTTTCGATTCCCCAGTTGTTCGTGACAAGGAGTAGGGTTGCCTGTCCAACCTCGTGGTTTTTCTCCGGGTCCTCCTGAAACCTTCCACTGCTAAAGACACCCACGCTCAAGCGATTTACTGAAATAACCTAGTTTGTGTTGAGTGGACGTTAAACCCCATTTCTCTCTCTCCCCCCCCCCCCCCCTTGCCAGTGGCGCAGGACGGTGAGCTTGTCAAAGACCGGCTTCCGGATACATTCACATGGTTTGATAGGTTAATTTTGTTGTGGCTTGCAATACCCCTGTGTTTGTCTCGCTGTGCATTCGTTTGTTTGGCTGGGCTTTAGTTGAGGTTTGTTGCTATCACGTTTCAAAATTGTGACAAATATTCCAGAATTATATAGATCATTTTAATAAAATGTTAGCCATGTTGTCTTCCCAAATAGAAAGAGAGATGGGGTTTAACGTCCACTCGGCACAAACTATAGATAGGTCATTTCGGGACTAGAATGGTTCAATTTAATTATGGGTCTTTAGCAGTGGGAGGAAACCCTAGGAAACTGTGTTGGACAGGTGAGCCTACTGATTGTCACTTACAAGCGGGAAATCGAAACTACACCCAAGGACTAAACCACAAGACCCCCCCCCCCCCCCCGACTTCCGAAATAATTAGTATGAGGTTATTCTTGAAACTTACAGTTTAAATGCCAAGTTGTCTGTGGTAATGTTTGGAGCAAAAATATCTTCTTCATCTGATCATAAATACTAACCCTTTTTAATTATAATTTTAAAAGTTAAAACAGCTTACCCACACAACAGGTATACGTAATCGAATCTTTGACCGTTGCAATGCGAGGAAGAGTATGCAGGAAACAAAACTATCAGAGCTCCGTACAGCACATGTAAACAGTCAAGTGAAAAATGACCGGAGTATTGTATAGCCCCAAATCACATTACATTCAAAAGCTGGGCAAGACGCTGGCTCGCTAGCCTGGAGGTCGCGGGTTCGAGATACCTTTGCAGATGGAATTCGATATAAAAGTAGTAGGCCGTAGTGCCGCTGTCTGGGCAAAATTTCCCTCCTAGTACACTGCATGGCGTATGGTCGTCTTCCTTATCCAAGTCGGAGCAGTTGGACGTTAAATGTCATCTCATTTCATTTCATTTCCATTCAAAAGCTTATACATTACAAAATTATAACAAATAGTTGTATTAGCTGCATGAACTTCTGGAACACAAATCTACTTAGGGCTAAATTAAGCGTGAGTTTGGCCTCGGAACCCTGTGGATTAACGTTTCTATTTTTGAACAGTTGCGAGAAGACTCATCTTCCACACGTGTACGTCCAGTTTCCTTTTTTTCGTGTTGAATGTTTTATCGAGTATCTATTTCCTCTGTATTATACACATTAGCGATATTTCTTGATACAGGACCAATGCTGACCAAACGATTTCTTAGAACGTTGAAAAACAAAGTTCCAACCCATAAAAACGAAAGAAATTTAAGTACGCATGGTTCAGTACCGCATATAGCTGAACAAAATATTGAATTTCGTAAATAGACGAAGTTAGCCGGTTGATAATTGGGGGGCCTCCGCGAATGATTATGAATGTGTTGAGTGTATATACTTGAAATCTGTACATTCATTCGGCTAGTTATATAGGCAGGCAGATGGTGTGTACGACTTGATACAAATATATGTACATATATACATCGGAGACTTCGGAGTGATATATATGTATGTATATACGTAAAAGACGTAAGCTGGAATATATAATAGAACTACTATAGGATTTATAGCACAGAACCCATAAACAGTATTTATATTCACAATGTTACAAGGAATTATTTTATTGTGTTTTTTCAATATATTAGCTAGGTAAGTACTCTTTTTTACTTATATCTTTTGGTCTATTGAACAGTTATACCAGGTGTTGTGTAGAATGTTATACCGTTTGGTCTTTTAGTATACCCTGCTACGTTTTTTTTATATAACTTAACAGTGTTGGATTTTATAAAGGCTTTATTGGTGTTCTTCAAATAATCGATGATAAAGAAAATATTACCTGAATACAAACTAGTATTCCAATAATTATAAGATTATTGTATTTTATAAGTGAATTTATGAAAAGAAATGCTACTCAATCTTCTCAGGAAGATATGCCAATCATAATTTCGACGTTTCGTTAAAATCTTAATTATTTTATAAGAACTGTATTGGTGTTTTCAAAATCGTCTATGCTAAAAACAGTACTACATATATGCGAGGGCATGACAAGGGTTAAAGTATAGTCGTTTGGGTGGGACGAAAAACTAGGTCCCGTGTACACATTGGTGTGCACGTACAAGAACATTTGAAAGTTTGAATTCAAAATAAAAGAAGATCGTGATCCTTATCTAATCTCCCATTATGTATCTTTAAATAAATAATTAAATATATGCAAACTAATCTTCCCGTGAAGAAGTTTAGATTATAATTACGGCCTTTTGATTAAATCGGAGTTATTTTCTGGTTAAAGAATCATGTATCAATGAATGTACTGGATTTTATAAAGAGCTGTGTTGATGTTCTCAAAATCTTCTGTAATAAGGAAACTAATCTTCTCATGGCAATGTTTAAATTATAATTAAAACCGTAGTTATTTGTTGGTTGTAGATAGTTTTATATAACATAATAGTATACAGATTGTGGATTTTAATGAACTTTGTTGGTGTTCCAGAAATCATCTAGAATAACGAAATCACTACCTTGTGTAAGCTAATCTTTAAATTATAACAGAGAACTTATTTCTAAACGTAGTCTGCATTATGATGACGACTTTTCGATAAAAGTTTAATTATATTCTGGTTGTAGAAAAGGGTATGGATGGGTATAATAAATTTAAATTTATCTTTCACTGAAATTTTGATTATTATTATTACGACTTCTTGGTAAATTTTTAGTTATTTTCTTGTCATGTCTGAATTATTTTTTATAATATACGAAATAACAGTATTGAATTATTATTGTTTTCAAAATCATCTATAATGTGGTTTTATGGCACGTCAGCTCCAGCCGGGCTATTTTGCGCCAAATATATAAAATAACAATTTTGAATTCTGTAAGTGCTTTATTGGTATTTTCAAAAACATCTATACTGTGGTTTTATGACACGTCAGCTCCACCCGGGATATAATGCGTCCAATATATAAAATAACAATTTTAAATTCTGTAAGTGCTTTATTGGTGCCCGGTAAAGAAAGCATTACATAAATGAAAACTAATTTTCCCATGATGAAGTTTCAGTTATATTAACGACTTCTTGATAAAATCTTGATTATTTTCTGGTGATAGATTTATAACGTCTGGCATTCCATGGATTGTCAGGAATTACTGAGGAATAAATTTCAAAACAATTCGTCATGATTTTGATTCTTTCTTAACCTCTCTGTTTTAAGTCAAAACAATGTATTCGGTTGATTTCATGTCTTATTTCGAATAACGGGTGTCGCGGTGGCTCAGTAAATGAGGCGCTAGTTCAATAATCATGATGTCCCGGGTTCGAAATGAAATGAAATTACCCCCCCCCCTTACTGCTCTGCTCCGGCAGTGTGCTATGAGGGGAATCTTGCCCGGGCAGCGGCACTATGGCCTACTCTTATATCGAATTCCAATTGCCAGGGATCTTTCACGTGCACGCCAATGTATACACGGGTCCTCGGCTTTCCGTCCCATCTGAACGACTAAACAGCTGTTCTTATTAGGCCCCGTTCTGCACCACTGACAAGGAGAAACCACACCGGAAAATCCCGATCCCGTTGTTGGTCGAGAACGTTCCTGGAGATATTTCGCGACGGAGAGCTTTGTAAGGAACAGCTTGAAGTCGTTAGGACATTATGAAATAACCGAGATCCTGCGTAGCCTACATGTTGGTGGTGAAAAGGGTTTTTTTTTTGCGTAGTCCTTCGGGTGGAACAAAATCCCGAGGCATGCTTGGAAAATAACCCTTGACAGTTGGAATTCAATGAAGAGTATGAGTACAACTTTTCCACTAGTACATTACTTGGTGGCGTGGGATGGAGGTAGAGGAGAGGTGAGGCTTTATTAGTTGGTGAAGGAAAGCTATATACGATTAAATCGTTTTGTTTCAAAGTATTAGGGTTTATCGTTCACTCAACTCAAACAGGGTCATTTGGGGACTAACACATTTTTCAGTTGTATTTCAACTGGCTTGCGCGTAGGGATCTTTAGAGAGGGAGAGGGATTGGTTGGTGCTTCATTATGCCAAACATCTGGTGATCTTCATAAAATAAACTAGATTACATGATGGTAAACATATCACAGCTTATGGTAAAAACAAGTACAAGGGTGGGTGGGGAGGTAGCGTCAGGGGTCATACGAACGTCTTTTAGCCGATGAGGTCAAACATTTGATTAACCAATCAGCGTTGATGTTTCAAAAGAATATTTGGAAATCCAACCTTTGCTTCGTTCGCTGTGAATGGCTGCACCGCACACCAAGAACTGTATCTTTAGCTAATCCCTCACATCAACCAGTACGCGGGTTAAATAACAACTGTTCCAGATCCTTGAGTAGTGAAGGCAAGTAAAACGAAATTTTGAACTATAAAAAACGAAATAAAACGGGATCTGTGTTTTAATCAGATTGAATCGACATGGTTTAAAATTCAAATGTGAATGACAGTTCCTAACATTTTCATCTTCAAGCGTCACAATTAGTCGACAAAACACTCCGCATTTATTTATTTTAAAAACTAAAAGTAAGGCATGGCCTCCGTTCAAATCGATATCACTTCCGCTTGAAAACATTGTAATTATTCCATAAGACGGAGAATTAGCGGCGATTAGCTTACCAGTTATTTATTTTAAGAGTTAAAACGTGCGAGGAAGCCACATAGAGGAGTATAAAAAATACGCTGTTATACGGCTGACGTGTTTTGACTGAAAACAAACAGCAATATATGTGGGTTAAAATACAGGGTTGAATAAAGATGTTAAGACTATTAAGCATCAAAGACCGTGCCGTATCTTTTTGTTACTGGAGTCAGACCAGTGTTCCATTAAATTGCAGTAATAAATACTACTAAGCATCAAAGACCGTGGCGTATCTTTGATTGCTGGAGTCAGACCAGTGTTTAAAATTATAGCATTACAATTATTTTATTAAAATGTATGGGAAGTGAAGTAATAAAGACGGTTAAGCACCTGGGCCCCGTTTCTCGAAGTCTTAACCAAAGATAAAATCAAATTTTAGTAAATATACTGAGCGCTATGGAAAACGCATCACTTTTTTTCCCAAATATTTTATTACTAGGTGGTTTTGTATGTATAATATTATGCAATACTATGAACTATTGTTTCACACAATGCTCCCAAACGCAAAAAATATCAGCCCGTGTCCAAAAAAAAAAGATTGCACGAGATGCACATGAAAAACCCAATATTCACGTGCAGCATTGTGTGTGAGCCCTTTAAAAGCATGTTTTCAACTTAATGTGCAGTACATGAACTGTGAAACGTCAATCTGTCGTAATTTGTTGTTGGACGTGTGAAGGAATCGTGCCGAGACTAACTGAAAATCAACGGAATGAAGCCATGGGAATGTCCAGGGCTGGCATGTCTACACGTGCTATTGCCAGACACTTCAATTGTCATCAGTCCACTATTGTAAGGTTGGTGGAACGTGGTCGAGTTTCTGGATCAACACGTGACCGTCAACGTCCTGGTCCACAACGCGTTACAACCCAGGCTCAAGACCGCTACATCCGGGTCACTCATCAGCGTGACAGATTCCGCCCAGCGACTCGAACAGGTACAGCAGTCGTCGGAAGACAAGGACCAGTAAGTGCCAACACCGTAAGACGTCGTTTAAGAGAAGTAGGACTCCGTGCACGACGACCTTATATTGGAGCTATCCTCAGGGATCATCACCGTCAGCGGCGTTTGATATGGGCTTAAGGACACCAGACATGGAGAAGAGTAGACTTTCATCTTTTTCACGCTGATGGCCATCAACGGGTGTGGAGACGTCTTGGGGAACGTCTTGCAGACTGCTGCGTCTTCGAAACGAATCCATGGGGTGGGGGAAGTGTAATGGTGTGGGGAGGCTTCACATTTCATCACCGGACCGCCCTACACATTTGCAGGGGTCGCGTTAATGCTGTAGCCTACCGTGATGATGGCCCGTGGAGGACACACGCGCTACTGACATCTGTGTCGTACTTTTGGTTTTGACCCCTCTGACTTTGTAGCCTTGATTACAGATTAAACATCCGTAAGTGTACAAATGTGTTGTTATTGATGTGTTCCCATTTGAATATTGTTCACAATAAGAAGCAAAATAAATAAGATATGTTTACAGGATCATTTTGTTATACGAAAAACTAAGTGATGCGTTTTCCATGGCGCTCAGTATATTTCAATTTTGATTGGCTAAGCACTAAAATCAATCTAATATTATCCAATCAAATTACTAAAAATTGGATTTTATCTTAGTTAAAATTTCGTGAAACAGGCGCCATAAACCATGTCGTATCTTTGGTTGCTTGAGCCAAGGCAGTGTTTAAGATTACATGTATAGCATTACAATTTTATTAAAATACAGTAAAGGTGTAAATTCTATTACCACCAGAAATCGTGCTTTATCTTTAATTGCTGGGGTCAGACCAGTATTTTAGACTATTGCATAAATATTTTAAAACCCAGGCTCAAATGCAGTGAAGCAATAAAGACTATTAAGCACTAGAAACCACGCCGTATCTTTAGTTGCTGGAGTTCAGTGTTTAAGACTTTTCTGTAAGACGTTAATCAAAGAAACGACCCGACATTGGTCGACTAAACTACAAGTTTTAAAGAATGCAGCCTTTATATTGGCTTAGA